AGGTGGTCAACATAAACTCCTATGAATAAACAGAACTAATGTTTAAAGTCTAACACCCTATCTTAAAACTTTTTATTTATTTGAGAGGCAGAGTTACACACAGAGGGAGAGACATTGAGAAAGAGGGCTTCCATCCACTGGTTCACTCCTCAAAGAGCTGCAAGAGCTGGAGCTGGGCCAATCCGAAGCCAGGAGCCTCTTCCAGGTCTCCCACCTGAGTGGAGGGGCCCAAGCACTTGGGCCATCCACTGCTTTCCCAGGACATCAGAGAGCTGGATCGGAAGTAGAGCAGCCAGGTCTCAAACTGGTGCCCAGATGGGATGCCAGCACTACAGGCAGAGGCACAGCCTACCATGCCACTGCACTGGCCCCTATCTTAAAATTTTAACTCCATTTAATGGAAATATATCTCTCAATATGTTCTCATGTCATTTGTTTAACTTGTGAGTTAATGTTGGGAAATGCTGTTCAACACCAATACAGGTTTCCCTTTTTTTACTACAGGCCCATTTCTGAAAATGTCCCGGGGCTGGGGCTGTGTCTTAGAGGGTAAAACCGCTGCCTGCAGTGCTGGCTTCCCATGTGGTTTCCCACGCTATGGCCTGAGAAATCAGTAGATGGCGGCCCAAGTCCCTGGGCCCCTGCACCCACATGGGAAGACCCAGAGGAAGCTTCTTGCTCCTGGCTTTAGATGGGCGCTGCTCTGGCCATTACGGCCAATTGGAGAATGAATCAGCAGATGAAAAACTTCACTCTCTTTCTGCCTTTCCTTCTCTCTCTGTGTAACTCTGACTTTTTTTTTTCTAACTTTTATTTAATGAATATAAATTTCCAAAGTACAGCTTATGGATTACAATGGCTTCCCCCCCATACCGTCCCTCCCACCCACAACCCTCCCCTTTCCCACTCCCTCTCCCCTTCCATTCACATCAAGATTCATTTTTGATTCTCTTTATATACAGAAGATCAGTTTAGCATACATTAAGTAAAGATTTCAACAGTTTGCTCCCACACAGAAACATAAAGTGAAAAATACTGTTTCAGTACTAGTTACAGCATTAAATCTCAATGTACAGCACACTAAGGACAAAGATCCTACATGAGGAGTAAGTGCACAGTGACTCCTGTTGTTGACTTAACAAATTGACACTCTTGTTTACAGCATCAGTAATCACCCTAGGCTCCTGTCTTTCAAATAAATAAATTATATAAAAAAATACAATGTCCTAGACCCCTGTTTCAAAGGGAAGAGAAATCTCCCCCTCTCTTATATATGTCTAGAAAAGGCAAGCCCAGCAGTCCAAATCTGCCTAATCCATAGATACCATTAGATTTGAGGAACTGGTAAGATTCGAAATTGTTTATCTCACAAAAAAATACTTACATAAACTTAACACACATTTAAATAAATGAGCAGATATAGCATATATAGCATTCATACTTGAATGAGTGAATGCAATAAGCAGTAATACCTGGGGGGGGGGAATTCATTGCTAGCCAAGAACACTATACCCAGCAAAGCTGTCCCTCAAAAAGCACCGCAGTGTCCTACTAGTGCAGATCTTTGGAGGCAGCAGCTGATGGCTCAAGTGACTAGGTTCCTGCCACCCTCGTGGGAGACCCAGATTGGGCTCCCAGCTCCCACCTTCAGCCCAGCACAGTCAGCCCCAGTTGTTGCTGGCATTTGCAGGAGTAAACTGGCAGACACAAATAATGCATAAAATGTAGTTTTATTATAATGCATAAATAAAAAATTAGTTTTGATAATATTCCTTTGTGGCCCATGTACATTAAGATATCTAGTTATTTGTTCTTAAAAACTAGGAATTGGCATCACAGTGCGGTGGGAATTATGTCCAATTCAGAATTTTGAACAGACTCTGCTATCCACCATGTGGCCTGAAGCAAGCCATAGATTGTCACTAGCCTCAATTTATCTCTATTACAGAGCAGAGAGAATGAAACTGTTAACACTTCAATTAACAGCATCAATGTTTGTCTCTGCTCCATCTCTTACCTCTTCACCACATGCTAACATGCTCTTACCCTAAACTTGAATCCCATACCTGCTACACTCTCCTCTCAGGCCTTCAAACTGTTCCTCTTGCTTGTGATCAACTTTTCTAGACCTTACTTCAAGATTCAGTTGTCCCATTCTCTGAGACATCTGTCCCCTCCATGCACTCTTTCTCTCCATCAACTGTTGCCCAAACTTGTTTCTTTTCCTTCCTAAGTCACTGATCACAATGTAACTAATAGAACAAGGTACTTATTTTTGACAGTTGTTACACATGTGCCTTATATACATTATCCCATGTAATCCTCACAACCACTCTGTGAAGCAGGTACTACTATTCTTCCCTTGGTTTCATCAATGAGGAAAGTAAGGATTAGGGAAGTTGAACAGCTTGCTGAAAGTCACTCAAGTAATAATTATTACAAATTATCATTACTACTAATTAGTAATAATTAGTAGGGCTGGGATTCAAAGTCACCCTGCTGCCTTTGGTGGGGGAACTTGTACTTCTTACACCTTTGTAGCCTTAGGAAAAGAGTACAACACCTGATGTGCTATTTGCATCAAACGTATGTTTGGTGAACAAGAAAGGCAGAGTGTGTCTTTCGATTAAACAGCGTATTAGGTGCCAGCCATTTGCTTAGGACAAGACCTCTGTCCTCAAAAAGTTTGTAACCAGTCTACGGGGGAAAGAGAAGCCGATGGTTGCAGGACAGAGTGTGGTAAGTGCTACTTCTGTGGCCAGGTTGCTGAGAAAACAATGCGGAGGAAGAAAACAGTCAAGATGTTAGAAAAGTTTGGATTTCTGTGTTTTCCTCTGAAAGCAAATTAAACAAGATTATGCTATATTGGTACACACATGGCAGGAATTAATGTACTTCTTGTTAAAATTAATTATCTATATTCATATATTACTATTTCAAATCACCCACCTATCTAGTTCAAATAAATCTCATCTTTTAAAACACATTTTAAAAGATGATCTACTTTCTAAATATGTTTGAGTTATGTGATACTACATATTTTTCTCTCCCACAGATATAAGAAAAACAATGAAAAAAAAAAGTTACTGGTTACATAACAGGCTCTTAGAACTGCTTACAGCAAAACACCATCATTTAGCTTTTTTTTTAAACTCAGGAAAACAAAGAGCTAAAACTTATTGTATTTCAAGCAACTGCTCCAAAGAAACCATTATACCCTGAACATTTATTCCATATACCCTCACCATTTTATCCCTAGGTTAAAAAAAAGTTTAGATTTTCCGTATTCATTTACCTCCTTCCTTCCCTCTACTTTAATCCTACAATAAAATTAAGTGTAATTCTGATAAGGTATTCCCAGCAGTTATTCACTTGCTAAACAATTTATTCAAGTGGATACTTTCTAAGCTATTACAGAAAACATCAAAATAAGAGCCTTATTAAATTCAAGTTAGATTGTATCTGTCACTTCTTCCTTGTTCAAAGCAATTACCATGAAAGAAAATAAACTAAGCCTAAAAATGTCAGTTATTACAAATTTGGGTACTATCAAAGTTTTTATGGTTTTCTTGGTGACTATATGTAGATTAAATGATTTTAACACTGTTCTAAACCAAAGAAAATAGGTTTCCCTAAACATAGTGGGAGTAGTAAAGATGAAATAAAACAGAGAAGTAGAGGAGAAAGAAGAATGTGAAACAATGAGAAGCGTGATGAGGTACAGGTGGACTTCATTAGTTTGGCAAAATTGATGAAGACAACAGCGAGGACAAAAGCAACAGGGATTAAAATGTTAGGGTGGCAAATGTAAGAAATTTATATAGTTTTAAATACATACAGGACTGAGAGAGAACCTAACTCCTCTGAGCTCAAGTTGCACAGAATCGGGTTCAAGTTCAAAGTTGGTTAAACTTGCTTTCAACTTCTTATCATCTTGACTATTCAGCAAAATGAAAATAACATAGCAGACAAGGAGTTTACATGAAACCTACTTTCTTATCTTCCCCTAACAAATTCTCTCACTGGAAGGGAAAAAAAAAAAAAACAAAAGGAACATTTTATCTTAACAGCTTCCATTTTCAAATAAGTTAAAAACTCTTAAAGAATTCTCTAATGCATGGTAAGCAACAGAGGCGATCAGCAAGCAGCTGCTTATAACAAGGAACTGCAATGTGTCGCCTGCTACAGAGAAAAGTCCAAATCACGGAATTTTCAGTTTAGTCCCTCTCTTAGCCTGTATTCACGTATTACAGAAGTTGCTGACAATTTACATACTGAAGAAATAAGGGACTTCAAACTACAACTCTGTTTAATACCATAATATTAACTAAGATTTTAATTGCATGGTTAAAAATTTAAAACCACAATTCCCCTAGAAAGTATAACTGCCACCATTTAGAGAAAATAATAGGGCTAATCACATTCATCAAATGATTTTATTAAACCTGATGCTATGCTAGTCACTGTAATGACCAGCTATTGTACTTTAGTTCATTAAAGAATTCTTACGCCACTCACTACTGAATTACTGTTTAGCTGGTAAACTGAGGAAAAACCCTGAATAACCTGAAAAGACACAAGTACAGAGTCCATGGTACAAAATTACTGAACCATGCTCCCTCTTTACATAATAATATATAAACTGCTAAGTTTCAGTGTCAGCCACCGGGGGGCTTAGTCTTCTCCAGATACAATCCAACCTGTGTGAGTGAAAACTGAACTCCAGATTCCACATCAGTGACGTCTACGGTGCCCTTCTTTCTGCTTCCAAACCCTTTTCAAACACTGCCACAGATTCCATTTCACCTGGTGGTAGGCAACACTGAACTCATTGTGGGGAAACCCAGAGCAGTTATCAGATACAGCAGGGGGCGAGCCGGCCGCACAGCCCTTCAGCCACAGCGCTCCTGCATCCTTGGGCAAGCGTTCCGATTTTTGCTATCTTAGTTACCATCTCTCTCGGAAACTCCGAGGCTCCCCAAGGCGCCCCGAGTACTCACCTCGCTCATCAGAATCCTGACCCCGGGTTTTCACTTCGGTTCCGCTGGGCTCCTGGGAGCCCGAGGCCGCCGCCCCCTCCCCGGGGTCGTCCACCTTAGTCACGGTGAAGTGCGGCATCGCGGCGGCGGGAAGCGCTGCGCTCCGGAACCCCCTGCCCGCCTCGGGCTGCCTGCGCTCCGCAGACAGCGGCTGGGAATCGGGAAGTGCTCGTGGCTCACGTGACCCACAGCGCCTAGGGAGTGGGGCGCTGGGAGACACGCCTTCCACGGTGTTTATCCTTCACTTAAAAGGACTCGCACTCCACCCCTGTTGTTACTGACCTGCAGAACCCCAGAACCGTTCAGGCGGCCGTGCGGACCGGGCAGTTCAGGAACTCCCTGCGTGCGCCCCTGTCCGCTGCCGTCACTGAAACTGCGGCCACCCTATGTCTGCACTGTGACTTCAACCCCTGCCCTCCTATTTCACATGGCAAAGATTAGGGAAGAGTTCATTTTACAGACTCCTCTGAAGAAAGACTGGCCTAACGTCAACTAGAAAATGAAATGTGTATTGTTTGTAAGCCTCTGTTCTTTATTTCAAACCATATGCGGAAGAAAGTCATACAAACTCATAGACTTTTTCTAACTCTCTGCGTAGAAACAATCAGCAAATATTGAATGAATTCTCATATTTTACACAAGGCAGAGTTCTAGACACTACATAAGGACAAAAAGAGATTAACTTCCCCCAAAATAGAACTTTGTTGAAAACAGAAAACTAGGTTTAAGTAGAAGATTGCAGAATTTGTTAGTATTGTAAAGAGAGCTTAAACATCGTACTTTAAAGAAAAAAAAAAAAAAACAAAGGAATCTCTGATTAAGAGGAATATAGTTCTTTTAGCACACACTTACAATAGCATACTCTTGGTGTATTTTGTCAGCAGTATCAGATTCTCGGTTGATGACTCCTAACTACACAGTAAGAAGTACTAACTCTGTGCTCAAGAGTCAGTAAATTGAGCCCTGTGTTAATTTCTATCCTGATGATGTAATCTAAGGGCTTTGTTAGGAATGCTTTCCACCTGACAAGTAAGGCTAGGCTAATTTTATTTACCAGAAAGGAATGATGGTTTGTAATCCCCATTCAAAGACTTGAATGTGAACAGAGAAGGAAACCAAAAGTTTGTGCTCTGCATTGCACTGGAAATTTTACATCGTGATTTAATCATCACAGAAACAGAAATATTCAGCTAAGAGCCTTGGCCAAAGTCACAAAGATTGTAAACGGTGAAGCCTACCTTAAGACCTCCAATGCCTTTGTGACAGGCAACACAGACAAGTTTTAAAGAGAGAAAACCCGGGCCGGTGCCAGTGCCATGGCTCAATAGGCTAATCCTCCACCTTGTAGCGCTGGCACACCGGGTTCTAGTCCCGCTCAGGGCGCTGGATTCTGTCCCAGTTGGAAGGTGAACCAATGGCAAAGGAAGACCTTTCTCTCTGTCTTTGTCTCTCACTATCCACTCTGCCTGTCAAAAAAAAAAAAAAAAAAAAAGAGAGAGAGAAAACCTATACACACTTACCTAAACTTTATTTCATGGATTCTTAATAGCATTGTTCTGTAACCTTGGCTGCACACTGGAACCACCTGGTGAGCTTTTAAAACTAATGATGCCTAGGTTCTATCCCAGATAGTCTCATTTTATTACTTTGGAATGCAGCCTGGGCAAACACTTTAAAGTTTCTTCAGGTGGTTCTAACTGCAACCAAGCTTGAGAATTACTGCTGTAGGGGAGGCAGAAAAGTGTTATCACCTGAGATGATTGGTAACTATTTTTTAATCTTTGAAAGAAATTAAGAGCTGGTAGTACTTTGGTGATTTTCCCATATTGCAAGTTAGATAGCTACACAAATAATGTATTTGTAGCAACTTAAAAGAATTACCAAGCTGTCAAAAATTTCAATATTAGAATATTCTGAGGTCCAAGTATGTTAATATTTCAGTGCCATGAGATATTTCCACTTGGATATTGCCTTTCGTATTTATTTTAGAGAGTCTGAACTGTGGCTAATCTTCTGTAGTTGATAGATGGAAACAATGACTCACATTTATAAATCTGTGTACAGCTTGTGTATATAAGCCTTTGTACAAATGTTACCCTACCAGCCCTCCTCTCTCAGAAAATTCCCAAACCAAATAACTAGAAAGGTGACCCATTCTGGTTAACTACAGTAGCAGTAACTTACTTGCCAACTTAATGTGTTGGGACCACAGTGATCAGCAGTTTAAAAATAGGTATCTCCTAGAGTTAACTGTAGGTAAAACTGAAGATAAAGGCAGCACAGAAAAAGCTCAGGTGTATGAGTGATATGCATAGGAAGTTTTAAAAAATTAAAAAGCTCGGTGTAAGAAATAACTATTTGAGGGGCCAGCGCCGTGGCGCAGTGGCTTAATGCCCTGGCCTGAGACATCGGCATCCCATATGGGTGCTGGTGTGAGACCTGGCTGCTCCGCTTCCAATCCAGCTCTCTGCTGTGGCCTGCAAAAGCAGTGGAAGATGGCCCAAGTCTTTGGCCCTCTGCACCCGCGTGGGAGACACAGAGGAAGCTCTTGGCTCCTGGCTTCAGATCCGTGCAGCTCCGTCCATTGCGGCCAATTGGAGAGTGAACCATCGGATGGAGGACCTCTCTGCTTCTCCTCTCTTTATGTAACTCTGACTTTCAAATAAATAAATAAATCTTTTTTTAAAAAAAAATAACTATTTCAAGCATCACAATTAGGTAACATTACACATACCAAGACAACTAACAATTAATAAGACGGCTAACATCAAACCTGGCGAGAATGTGGGACAGAAAGAACTTTCATACATTTTTGTGGGGGGTGTAAATTAATATATCTATTATGGAAAAGGGTCTGACACTTACCCTATAATCCAGCAACTCCACGCCTAGGTACTTACTTACTCCTAGAAGTGAAAATATATCCCCACAAATGCACTTGAACAAAAATGTTTATAGCATATTATTCATATCATCCCCAAACTAGAAACATCCCTCTTCCATCCTTAAAATAATGGATTAACAAAGCGTGATAGTCAAACAAAGGATTATTATTGAGCAATTAAAAAATGAACTATTGGTACATGCAACGTGGATTGATCTAAAAAATGTGCTAAGTCAAAGAACTTTACACAAAGTAGTAAATAACATGAATTCACAGTTACAAAGTTTTATAACAGGCAAAACTAATCTATGGTGCAAAAAAATAATCAGGAACATGGTTGCCTCTGGGGGAATGGAGGTAAAGATTAAGTGGCACCAGATAGGAGAGGACTTCCTGGAGCCCTGGAAATATTCTATATCCTTATAGGGTTTAAGGTTCTAACAGGTACAGGCATTTGTCAAAACTCAGCCAAGAGTCACTCAAAAAGTTTGCCTCAAAAGAAAAAAGAAAGTGGCAAACAAATACTGAATTTTAATTAATAATATGCTTCTTGAGGTATTTGGAGGAAGTGAACTGATGTCTACAATTTACTTGATGCTACAACAGTACAGACAGGTAAAAGGACAAGTACAATAAAATGTTAATAACAGAATATGGGTGAGGGGTGTACAGTTGTTCACTGTAAAACTTCTGCATGCTTGAAAAAATTACATAATAAACTGTTGAAAAAACACAATGAATTGACACTATTATGAAAATAAACTAGCAAATCACAGGGAGAAAATATTCAGCAGACATATATTTGACAAAGTACTCTTATCTATAACATCCTAAAAAACCCCACAACTCAAAAATAAAAAGATAACTCAAGGCCATCATTTTGACACAGCAGGTTAAGCTGCTGCCTACAATGCCAGCATCCCATATATCCCATATTGGAGCACCAGTTTTGAGTCCTGAGTCTTGGCTGCTCCACTTCCAAACCAACTCCCTGCTACTGCACCTGGGAAGGCAGCAAAAAATGGCCCAAGTACCTGAACCCCTTTCACCTACATGGGAGACCTGAAAGGAGTTCTGGGCTTGTGGCTTTGGCCTGGCCCAGCCCTGACCATTATGGCCATTTTAGGGTGTGAACTAGTTGGTGGAAGATCTCTTCTGCTGCTGCCTAAATGGGAAAACTGGATTGAGCTCTTGGCTCTGGCGGATGGAAGCTCTTTGCCTCTCTCTCACATAAATTAATTTAAAATTTTCTAAATATTTGGTTATTTATTTGAAAGGCAGAGTTACAGAGAGAAAGAGAGAGAGAGAGAGAAAGACAGAGAGCTCTTGTATCTGCTGGTTCACTCCCCAAATGGCCCCAACGGCTGGGGCTGTGCCAAATGGAAGCCAGGAGCTTCTTCCAGGTCTCCCATGTGGGTACTGGGGCCCAAGCACTTGGGCCATCTTCTACTGCTTTTTCAGGCACATTAGCAGGGAGGTGGACTGGAAATGGAACAGCTGGGACTCAAACCAGCATTCATAGGAGATGTGAGCACTACAAGCTGTGGCTTAAGCTGCTGCACCACAGCACTGGCCCCAACAAAAAATTTTTAAAGATCATTGGCATGGGGCCAGCGCCATGGCTCAGTTAGTTAATCCTCTGCCTGTGGCACCGGCATCCCATATGGGTGCCAGTTCTAGTCCCAGTTGTTCCTCTTCCAGTCCAGCTCTCTGCTGTGACCCAGGAAGGCAGTGGAGGATGGCCCAAGTGCTTGGGCGCCTGCACCTGAATGGGAGATCAGGAGGAAGCACCTGGCTCCTGGCTTCAGATTGGTGCAACTCCAGCCATTGCAGTCAATTGGGGAGTGAACCAGCAGATCGAAGAATCTCTCTCTCTCTCTCACTTTCTCTCTCTCTGCCTCTCTTTCTCTCTCTTTCAAATAAATAATAACTCTTTAAAAAAATTTACACTGAAAAATTACAGTAGGGTCAACATGTGGCCTAATGGGTTAAGCCACTGTTAGCAACGTTATCATCCCATATTGGAGTGCCAGTGCGTCCTGGTTGCTCTGCTGCAGATCCAGTTCCCTATTTATGTGCCTGGGAAAGCAACAAAAGATGGTCCAAGTATTTGGGCAGGTGCCACCCACGTGGGAGACCTGGAGTTCCTGACTCCTGGCTTCTGCCTCGCTCAGCCCCAACTGATGTGGCCATTTGGGGAGTGAACCAGTAGATGGAAGATCACTTTTACTCGGTCTCCCTGTCGCTCCCCCTCTTCGTGGAGGAACGACACAGGACCCTGCGCTGTTCTTTTGTCTGCTCGGCCCTCCCCGGGTTTGCTGCTGGTTCTTCCCGGGTTGGCTACTATCCCTTCCACCTCCGTGGAAGGGCGGTTCCCCCTGGCCACATTCCCCACTTCCGCAGGGGAGCGGCACACCGCCGGCCGGCTCTCTCGGGGGCTGCACAGGTGTTCCTTCAGATGTTCCCCTTAGATGTTCCTGGTGCATGCCGTCTCTCTCCTCCTTTATAGTCCTCCTCCGCCAATCCCAACTCGGCTGCCCACACGCCAAGTACGCTGCTCTCCTCCAATCAGTAGCAAGTCCTACAGTTTATTGGTTGAACTGGAGGCAGCTGTGTGGAAGCTGTTTACTTCTCTCCCAGCGCCATATTGTGGGAGAGCAGATGCATAGAATAAGTCTTAATTCCAGTAACTCAGTCTAGTCCGGTTTGCTCCCCACACTCCCCCTTTCTCTTTCACTCTGCCTTTCAAATAAATAAAACAAATTGGGAAAAAAAAAAGTTAACATTCCCCATTCTTCAGAACAGGTCTATCTTAGGAAGTATTTAGAAATTATAATTTACCATGCCACACTATCCAATTTTTATTATTTAAAAAATTTGACATGGGGCTGGTGTTGAGGCATAGTAAGCTAAGAAGCTGCCTGTCATGCCAGCATCCTGTATGAGTGTTGGTTTAAGTCCCTGCTGCTCCACTTCCCATCCAGCTCCCTGCTAATGTGCCTGGGAAAGCACCAGTAGATGGCCCAAGTGTTTGGCTACATAGGAGACCAGGATGGAGTTCCAGGCTACTGGCTTCAGCCTGGCCCAGCCCGGGAGTTATGGCCACTGGGGGACTGAATCAGTGGATGGAAGATTCTCTCGCTCTCTCCATCTTTCTGAAACTCTTTCAAACAAATACATAAATAATCTTTTTTAAAATTTTGCAAGCAGAGATTCACAAGCAGAGAGAGTGAGCTGGTCCATTTCTCAAATGAGAGAGAAAGCAAGAGAGTGTGTGCTTCCATTAGCTTGTTCATTTCTCAAAAGTCAGAGCTGGGCAGGGCCAAAACTAGGAGCTGGAACTCCATCCAGGTCTCCCTCTGAGAGTGGCAGAATCCCTATCACTTAAGCCATCACTATTGCCTCCCAGAGTCTGCACAAGCAGGAAGCTGGAGGGAGAAGTTAGAGCCAGGAATCAAACTCAGGCACTCTGATGTGGGATGCTGGCATCTTAACCATTGAACACTTATTTTTAATTACTTATTTTTAATCATAGCTCACCTTATTTTGTTTTTTAAAGATTTGTTTATCTATTTGAAAGTCAGAGTTACATAGAGAAGGAGAAGCAGAGAGAGAGAGAGAGAGAGAGAGAGAGAGAGAGATAGGTCTTCCATCTGCTAGTTCACTCCCCAATTGGCTGCAATGGCCAGAGCTGCGCCAATCCAAAGCCAGGAGCCAGGAGTTTCTTCTGTGTTTCCCACGTGGGTTCAGGGGCCAAAGGACCTGGGCCATCTTCTGTTGCTTTCCCAGTCCATAGCAGAGAGCTGGATTGGAAGAGGAGAAGCTGGAATTTGAACCAGTGCCCATGTGGGATTCTGGCACTGCAGGCGGTGGCTTAACCTTCTACGCCACAGTGCTGGCCCCACTCACCTTATTTTCAATGGGTTGTTTTATTCAACTCATTTATTTAAAACAAATGAAGACTTATTAGATTTAGTGAGAAAACTGAAACAACTAAGAGTCAGTGGAAATTATTTCAACACAGTCATTATCAGATTGTCACACATTGATATATCATGAAAAATCACTCAATTTTAGAGAAAATCATATGTATTTTCTCTTAGTTCTCAAAAACTGAGAACTGTATCAATTGAAAGCTATACAAATAACGTAGAACCACTGATCTCATTGCTGAAAATTATCAAGTAACCATTCATGCTAAAAATGCATCCATAATGCAAGGAAACTTTTTTTAAGAAAACTTCTAGCTGGCGCTGACACACCGGGTTCTTGTCCTGGTCGGGGCGCCGGATTCTGTCCCGGTTGCCCCTCTTCCAGGCCAGCTCTCTGCTGTGGCCAGGGAGTGCAGTGGAGGATGCCCAAGTCCTTGGGTCCTGCACCCGCATGGGAGACCAGGAGAAGCACCTGGCTCCTGGTTTCAGATCAGCAGTGTGCCAGCCGCAGTGCGCCAGCCGCAGTGGCCAATGGAGGGTGAACCAAGGGCAAAAAGGAAGACCTTTCTCCCTGTCTCTCTCTCTCACTGTCTACTCTGCCTGTCAAAAACAAAACAAAACAAAACAAAACAAAACAAAACAAACCAAAAACCAACTCCTAGGGGCCGGTGCTGTGGCGCAGGGGGTTAAAGCCCTGGCCTGAAGCACCGGCATCCCATATGGGTGCCAGTTCGAGTCCCGGTTGCTCTTCTTCCGATCCAGCTCTCTGCTGTGGCCTGGGATAGCAGAATGACCCAACTCCTTGGGCCCCTGCACCCGTGTGGGAGACCTGGAGGAGGATCCTGCCTCCTGGCTATGGATCGGCCCAGCTCCGGCCGTTGCAGCCATTTGGGGAGTAAACCAGCAGATAGAAGATCTCTCTCTCCTCTCTGTCTCTACCTCTCTATGTAACTCTTTAAAATAAATAAAATAAAGCTTTAAAAAAATAAAAAAGAAAACTTCTATAATAAGTGAGTACTAAAAATCCTTGGAATTAAAAAGACACATATATTCTAAATACAGCAGTTGTACTAAATGTCATTCTGAAGAGCATTATGCAGATTTTTGAAAGTTCTGGTAATTTCTGGAAGTTTAAATACATTGGTAATGTATTTAATAGCATTCATTTTTAAATAAAACATGAGATTAAACATGATCAAAGTACTATTGGAAATGCTGTAAAATAAATACAAACTGCTCTAAAATTTAAAAGTGTAAAAACACTGTGGCACAGTGGGTTAAGCCTCTGCTTGCGATGCCCACATCTCATATTTGAGCTTTTAGTCAACTTTGAGTCAACTTTGAGTCTCAGCTGCTTTGCTCCTGATCCAGCTTCCTGCTAATGTACCTGGGAAGGCAGTTTATGACGGCCCAAGTACTTAGGCCTCTGCTATCCATGTCGGAGATCCAGAGGGAGCTTCTGGATCCTGGCTTTGGACTGACCCAGCCTCAGCTGTGGCAGCCATTTGGGAAGTGAGCCAGCAGACGGAAGAGTATGCACTCTTCTGTGTTTTTCCTTCTAACTCTCTGTTACTCTTTCAAATGCATACATACATAAATTTTTTAAAATGTAATAAAAAGAGTAAAACTGACTAGATTCTAGGAGAATAGCTACAGTAGCCTTAATTTATCTTTATTGGTCTACACCTTCTCATAGCATTCTCTCACTCAAATACATTAGACAAGGCTTTGCAAAAGCATGTGCAAACACAAACAAAGATTTAGTGGGAATGCTGAGCAAAGAAAAATTCTGACTTCAAAATATTAAAATCCAATGGTCTTTCATATCCCTGTGGTTTTAAGGCACCATTCAGAGTGCTTGCTCCACTACTGAAATCTAGCTACACCTAAGGAAACTTTAAAATTGTAACCAACAAGAGTATCACATCTACAGTATTTAGTTTATTATAAATAGTGTTTTCAAAGAAATTACAACGTGGAATCTACTTCTAAGCCACTACTTCCAATGTAGTAATAAATATTTCAAAATATTTAATGCAGCCACCCTTTACTAAATCTCTGTAAGCATTGGCCAGCAATTAGATACAAATAAAAATTAGCTATATTATATCTTAATTTTCTTGATCAAGAACAATTTTTAAAAAATATTTACTTATTTATTAGAAAGGCAGATTTACTGAAGAAAGAGAGAGAGAGAGATTGAGAGAGAGAGAGATTTGCCATCTGCTGGTTCTTTCCCCAGATGGCCAAAGGCAGGAGCTGGGAAGTCCACGGGGGCTCCTATGCAGGTGCAGGGATCCAAGTACTCGGGTCATCTCTTGCTGCTTTGCCAGGCTCACTGCAGGGAGTTGGATCAGAGGTTAAGTAGCCAGGACTCAAACTGGCACTCATGTGGTATGCCCACAACACAGGCAGTAGCTTAACTCACTAAGCTACAATGCTGTCCACATTAAGGCCAATTTATAAGGAACTTTCAGCTACAAAGATTGATTTATGTTTTATACTCAACCACATATTTTATAAAGTTTTTATAACAAATATAAATAATTCATCCTATTAGAAGAGATGTTGTCTGAGAAAAAAAGTATGAATTATTTCTTTAATATACATGAATTAGGGACCAGCGCTATGACATAATAGGCTAAGCCCCTGCCTGCGGCACTGGCATCCCATATGGGCACCAGTTCTAGCCCTGGCTGCTCCTCTTCTGATCCAGCTCTCTGCTATGGCCTGGGAAAGCAGCAGCAGATGGCCCACGTCCTTGGGCCCCTGCACCCACGTGGGAGACCTGGAAGAAGCTCCTGGCTCCTGGCTTCAGCCTAGCTAGCCCTGGCCATTGCAGCCATTTGGGGAGTGAATCAGTGGATGGAAGACCTCTTTCTCTCCACCTCACCCTCTGTGTAACTCTTTCAAATGAATGAGTAAATATTAAAAAAAAAAACTTCCAAAAGATTTTAATATGTCCACTGGTAGAGAAACACTCCTCCAAACCTCCTGTAGTGTGGCATCATTTATAAGGCTAGGCACAAAAACAAAAGGCTATGAACCACTGTTTTAGAGTGGTGCTTTGAAAATTATCTCTGGTAAAGATTTTTTTCTTTGAACTTCCAATATATCATAATTTATTTTTATGTTTTATTTTTTGACAGGCAGAGTGGACAGTGAGAGAGAGAGAGAGAAAGGTCTTCCTTTTTGCCATTGGTTCACCCTCCAATGGCTGCCACGGCCGGCGCGCTGCGGCCGGCGCACCGCGCTGATCCGATGGCAGGAGCCAGGTACTTATCCTGGTCTCCCATGGGGTGCAGGGCCCAAGCACTTGGGCCATCCTCCACCGTACTCCCGAGCCACAGCAGAGAGCTAGCCTGGAAGAGGGGCAACCGGGACAGAATCCGGCGCCCCGACCGGGACTAGAACCCGGTGTGCCGGCGCCACAAGGCGGAGGATTAGCCTAGTGAGCCACGGCGCCGGCCACATAAGATAATATTTTAAAAAAATAAAATGAATTATTAGGAAGATAAAATAAGTATATACCAAACAAGTTTAGATTCAATAGACATGAAATTGCTTATCAAACTATACGAGTTTCTTTAAAAAATTGTAAACTTATCTCCTCACAGACAGGTCCTCATACTATATGCTGAATATTTCTGTGTTAAAGAAGTCTATTAACAGGTTATGAGAAGAGATGGGCAGTTCTCTATTTAAATTTGGAGTTACTGCTACAGAGGGAGCGTGAAAAGTGTACTCCATTCATAAGGAGAAGATACGTATGTATGTATACACACACACATATACTTTTTTATCATATTCATCAAACCCTGAAAATATTAAAATATCAAAATTAATATTCTTGTTGAACTATGGTCTTTTTACTTGTTGAACTCTTTATTTAGCGGAGCATTAAGCCTTTGTCTATAATGCAAACCAGAGGCCCTCATTGCAGCACAGTGTGTTAAGCCTCCTCCTGCAATGCTGGTATCCCACATGGGCACTGGTTCTAGTCCTGGCTGCTTCACTTTTAATCCAGCTCTCCAGTTCTGGCTGCTCCACTTCCTAATGTGCCTGGGAAAAAGCAATGGAAGACGGTCCAAGTGTTTGGGCCCCTTCATTTACGTGGGAGACTTGGAAGAAGCTGTGCTGCTAGCTTCGGCTTGGCCCAGCCCCAGTTATTGTGGCTATTTGGGGAGTGAACCATCAGATAGAAGCACTCTCTCTCTCTCTGAACCATCCGGTAGAAGCACGCTCTCTCTTTTTCTCTCTCCCTATCTCTCTCTCTCCTATCATCCTTTCAAATAAATAAAAAAGAAATCTGGTTTATTTCCACTTTCCATCTGCTGGTTCACTCCCCAAATGGCTGCAATAGCCAGGGCTGGGTATAGCCAGGAGCTTCACCCAGGTCTCCCACGTGGGTGAGTGGGGCCCAACCACTTGGGCTGTCTTTTGCTGCTTTTCTAGGTGCATTAGCAGGAAACTGAATCGAAGTGAAGCATGTGAGTCAGGAGCTGGTGCCTGTACAGGATGTCAGCGTCGAAGGCAGTGGCTTAACTCACGATGTCACAATGCAGGCCCCAAAATTATCACAAATTCTAAATTTTGTCTTATTATGTAGATAATTACAGAAAGAATTAAAATAAATCAATTACTCTGGTGAAGACCAACTAATAAGTAGGAAGGACTTAGTATCTAAAACTCCTGCATCTAAATATTATATGAAATTATATATGAAAATGGATTTTTATGAAATGATAACACTGATTATTATATAATGCATTTCAGGGCTAAGCACTGAAAGACGATAAAAATCTAAGAGAGTCATAATATGGTAGAGTAAGGAAGCCATAGTTCTCAAAACATCAGGAAAATTTCATGCTTTACTGAGGCTGAAGGAATTGTGCGTATATTCAATATTATCTGAGTGCCCAGTATGTGCCAGGAAGTAGCAATGAAGTGAAGAGTAAAGACTGTTCCTACCCTTAAGCTCACAGCCTTGTGCAGTTAGCTATGGAATAAAAGGTGACATAAAACTGTAAGTACAATATGCCACCAGGGGTGGAGAAACCTGTTCCCTGCCAAGGGCCATTTGGATATTTATAACATCATTTGTAGGCCATACACGATTATCAACTTGAAAATTAGCCTGCTTTAGATTTATTGAATTTCAAGTCCTGCCTGAAGTTGCCTTGGCAGGGTCAGACCAAATGATTTCGCGGGCTTATACAGCCTGTGAGCCAGATGTCTCCCTCTGCAAGAAGGAACCCTGAAAGTGTAACACACCACCACCTTGCCCAGTTACTTCTTTGGGGACCTCCAGCTATGAATCTTCACTAGGGGTAAGAAGGAGGTAGCAGGAGAGATGGCCAGCTAACTTGATACCTACATGGCCATTTTAGCTGCTGACCCAAATACTAAAGGAGACGTTATCAAAGGCCTCTGAGGACTCAGTCCTCAGCTTCCACTGTTACCTGTTTCCTGGCTGCTAGTGCTTTCTTTAGTCTATTGGCATTATAATCACAGTACAATAGGACTCCAAATCCAACCAAACAGGTAGCACTGACAGTCATGAACATGGATTACTCAATAGCCCACTCAGGTTTCATTTTCGCTGTAGGACATTTTATTCTTCTTTTATTACAAAATACTTGCTAGGTTAAAAAATGGGCTTCTCAGGGCTGGCGTTGTGGCACAGTGGGTTAAGCTGCCGCCTGTGAAGCCAGCATCCCATATGGGTACTGGTTTATGTCCCAGCTGCTCCGTTTCTGATCCAGCTCCCTGCTAATGCTCCTGGGCAAACAGCAGAAAATGGCCCAAGTGCTTGGGCCCCTGCCATTCACGTGGGAGACCAGGAAGCAGCTCCTGGCTCCTGGCTTTAGCCTGGCCCAGCCCATGCTGCTGGGGCCACCTGGGGCATGAACCAGCAGATGGAAGATTCTCTCTCTCTCTCTCGTAACTCTTTCAATTAAATCTTCTTTTGAAACATGGGCTTCCCATAAACGTGAAAACAGTGTACAGTAAATAAATCTGACATCAGACAACATATTGTCAAAACTAAGGATATATTTCCAAAAATATAAGGAAAGGAAAATGAAAACACACGTCAAAATTTCCTCGTTAATTTAATTCGCCTCAGAGAACAAAATATTTTTATAGGTCATTACTTTCTTCTTCCCCTGAAACAAAACTCCATTTTAAAATAGATTTCCTACTGAGAGTTCAATCAAAATATGAATCTGCATTAACTTTAGGACAGTTGGACTAATGCAGCAAAATAAATAAATGTTTGTGTAACTCAGTACTACTTCACTGTCCTAGCCATTTGCACATCATGTATGTAAATAGCAATGAAATCTATGTCTTTAGACCGGATTTGCTTTTAGGAACACAAATATAAATTATTCAGGGAATATGACACTGGGTTTTTTTTTTCTTTAAGATTTATTATATTTATTTGAAAGGCAGAGTTACAGAGAGAGAGGGAGAGACAGAGACCTTCCATCCACTGGCTCACTCCCCAAATGGCCTCAATGGCCAGGACTGGGCCAGACTGAAGCCAGAAACTTCCTCTGGGTCTCCCACGTAGGTGGCAGAGGCCTAAGCATTTGAGCCATCCTCTGCTGCTTTCCCAGGTGCATTAGCAGGGAGCTGGATGGGAAGTAAAGCAGCTCAGACTAGAACTGGTGCCCAAATGGTATGCCTGCTTCTCAGGCGGCAGCTTTAACCACTATGCCAAAATGCCAGCCCTGATGTTGTGTGTGTGTTTTTTAACCTTTTGTTTTTAATTTTCCCTCTCATGCCTCCAAATCAGGACAAAATAATGCCAAAAATGTCAACAGAACATAAAAACTGCATTTCTTTTACATTTTATCTACCCTGCTACACAACTGCAGCTTAATAAAAGTCTCTAACAGGGCCAATCATTATTAGTATACCAGAGAAAGTGCAGTATGATAACAAAAATACTGGTACTGGAATCACACATGCCTGGCCTCAAATCACGGTCCTTTAATTAATTACTGAACCAGTCTTGAACAGGTTACTTAACCTCATCAGCCTGTTTTCTTGTGGAAGAGAAAAATTTCATCTGATCACAAAAGAAAGTGACTTTGCTCTGCCTGCTGAGATGGCTTTCCATCCTGCAGAGCAGCATCTCAAACATGTCAAAAAAGACGTTTTGCTCCCTAAATTAATGAGAAAAAGCTAGAGAGGTTTTTCTGAACAAGTTGAAGATTTTACCAAATGTTGCAAGGAATCTGAAAAGAAAACTGCATTGAGAGAATGTCTAACTGCTGATTATAATGATCCAGCTTTCACAAAAATTAGAATTCCTATAAAGAAAAGAGTACAGAAGCTCCCCACCAGTACATAGAAAATATTCCCAAAACATTCAGAAACTCTAATATCCATGGAAGTCATTTACAGTATAAATCACCTGGAATAATGGACTCAAGATAGTTTCATCCTAATTATGAAAATATTACTTAAAGATCTTTATTTCAAAAAAACTTTCTTAAATGAAATAATATTGAAACATGATTTTTCAGGAAAGGAAAAGCAGTAATTCATCTAACTGGAAAGGATAATTCTCTATTTCTGACCAATTTTTTAAAGATTTATTTATTTATTTGAGAAGTACAGTTAGACAGAAAGGTCTTCCATCTGCTGCTGGTTCTCTCCCCAAATGGCCACAACAGCTGGAGCTGAGCTGATCTGAAGCCAGGAGCTGAGAGCTTCTTCCGGGTCTCCCAGGTGGGTGCAGTGGCCCAGGGACTTGAGCTATCCTCTACTGCTTTCCCAGACTATAGCAGAGAGCTGGATGGGAAGAGGAACAGCGCCCATATGGGATGCTGGCACTGCAGGTGGAGACTTAGCCTACTATACCACAGTACCAGACTCCTGATAAATTCTTAAAATGTGTTTGGAATGTGGCACATTGCTAAACCAGAAAAAAATAAATCATCAAAGCGAATTCTCTCCATGCTACTTAGGATGTAAATTAGCCAGTTGTGAAAATAAGTTACTATTTCTGGCTGTAAAAAATAATAGTTTAAATATGGTAAAGGCAAATGCTCTCAAAAATAGAACAAAAATATTTCAGTTGGATTCAAGTTCTCATGGCTCCTCAAAATGAAAATGTTCATGTATACATAAGAATTTTTAACTTATTAGTGTTTTCTTGGTTTTAAACTAAATATCTGAAAAATAAATAAACCCACCCCAAGTTAAAGCAGATCTGTCTGATAAATTACAGGAAGTTCAGATGTTATTTGCCAAACAGTCATGATTAAACAGATGAATGTCATAAACTGAATATTTTGTGTGGATTTTTCAAACCATTAGAAACATAACAAGGATACGCAATGCAGTAATGAAAACGTAAGCCAAAAGCTGCTCCACAGACTTAGTAAGGAAACGCCAAACCAAAACCCAGTTCTGAGCTAAAATACCAGGAAATTTAAAAACAAAACAAAAAGACTAATATTATTAGAATTAAGACCTAGACAAACCTGTCATTTCCTAATAATATACTTTTTAAAAAAGATTTTATTTATTTATTTATTTGAAAGTCAGAGACCGCAGAGGCAGAGAGAGAGAGAGGTCTTCCATCGATGGTTCACTCCCCAACTGGCCGCAACAGCCTGAGCTGCGCCGATCCAGAGCCAGGAGCTTCTTCCGGGTCTCCCACAAGGGTGCAGAGGCCCAAGGACTTGGGCCATCTTCTACTGCTTTCCCAGGCTACAGCAGAGAGCTGGATCAGAAGAGGAGCAGCTGGGTCTCAAACCAGCGCCCACATGGGATGCCAGCGCTTCAGGCCAGGGCTTTAACCTGCTGCGCCACAGCACCAGCCCCCAATATACTTTTTTTTTCCTTCCTATTTCTGCACATCTCAGCCACCCAACTACAAATTTAAGAAGCTAAAAGCTTCAGCTCTATGTTTTTCTTCTGTTAAGACATTCAAGGTAACTTCAAAATTTCAGGTTTGCATAGCTTCTGAGTAATTTATTTACATGACTGACTTTAATTCTGAATTGTCGACCAGCACTGTGGCATGGCTGGTGTCAGCATCCCATATGGGTGCCGGTTCAAGACTTGGCTGCTCCACTTCCAATCCGGCTCTCTGCTATGGGAAAGCACTAGATAATGGCCTAAATCCTTGGGCCCCTGCACCTGCATAGGAGACCAGGAGGAAGCTCCTGGCTCCTGGCTCCTGGCTCCTGGCTCCAGATCGGCCCAGATCTGGCCCTTGCCAACGTCTGAGGAATGAACCACTGGATGAAAGATCTCTCTGCTTCTGCCTCTCCGTAACTCTGCCTTCCAGATAAATAAATTTTTAAAAATCAATTATGTTAACTGTAAGTTTCACAAATGATTTAACAGTAGCTTAAAAATCCTTCAAAAATAAAATGCAGCTAAATGTTGGAAATGTTAAAATATGACAAATGTACATCTTAAAACCTAACAATATGGATATAGTATTTTCACTACTGAATCTTTGCAGTTATAGCAAGGTGTTGTATGTGTGTTATAGATTGTTCAGTTTTCTGCTCATACCTTCAAATGAAATCACTGAGATTCCACAAAATATATCAAAGCACTAATATCAGGGTTTTAACAGATAATATCTTGTTTTTCCATTCAGTTGTAAAATCTAAAAGCTTCATTAAAATAGTATTGTTCTAACACTCACAAAATAATAATAATTTACAAAATAAACTTTCATACCTACTGCCAAGAACACACATCACCAAAAACTTCAAACACATATAATCTGCATTAGTCTGAGTCAACAAACCCACCAGGGGTAGCCCTGCAGCCTGTGCACAAAGGTGTTAATAGGCAACAGGGCAAGGGGAAGGGGAAAGGGACTGAAATGCAGCCTGCCCTTCTCAGTAAAGATGACCTTAAAGCCATGATATCCAGGGCATAAGGGACTGTCCTTTCAGAACTTGCTCAAAGTTGTTGGTAGCCCAAAAGTATGTATTCCATACAAGGAGCAAAAACAGCAGCCATGAATCAAAAGCTTATGGTGTGGAAGGAAGACCTCTCTCCTGTCTCTCTCACTGTCTAACTCTACCTCTCAAATGAATAAATAAAATCTTTAAAAAAAAAAAAAGCTTATGGTGTAATTTTGCCCTCATCAGTCATCACAAGTTATCTATCAGTATTAAAACAATCCCCTTATCCTAACAGCCCATTTAAAAATGGGCAAGCATGAGTTTTATAAGGTTCCTAAACCTCCAAGAGTTTAGGAGTACTTCTTTCTCTATCCTTCCCCTTCATGAAAGATGATAGCAAAGTTTATGAGAATCTGAAGTCAAGAAAGGTGTTACTGATAGGAAAAGAATGAGGGCTCATGATGGAAAAACTTACGACAGAAAAGACATCACCAAAGATAAACGAAGTTGACACACTTTACCAATCACTGATGTTTAATCAAATATTTACGGTATTCTACTAAAGCAGCTTTCTTCAGAGCAATTCATTTGTTTACATTTTTACTGTAGATATTTTCAAACATAACAAAAGCTGAGAAAATGATAACATGAAATCTTCATGTACCTTTAAAAAAGATTTCTGGGGCCCGCATTGTGGCATAGCGGGCTGGACCTCCACCTGCGGCACCAGCATCTCATATGGGTGGCAGGATATAGTGCCGGCTGCTCCTCTTCTGATCCAGCTCTCTGCTATGGCCTGGGAAAGCAGCAGAAGAGGGCCCAAGGACTTGGGCCCCTGCACCCCCATGAGAGACCTGGAAGAAGCTCCTGGCTCCTAGCTTCAGATTGGCCCAGCTGCAGCCATTGTGGCCATTTGGGAAGTGAACCAGTAGACAGAAGATGTTTCCCTCTGTCTGTAACTGTACCTCTCAAATAAATAAAACCTTTAAAAAATTTATTTATTTGAAAGGCAGAGTTAAAGAGAAAGAGGGGAAGATGCAAAAAGATCTTCCATATGCTGGTTCACTCCCCAAATGACCTCATCAGCCAGGAGCTGGGTCTCCCATGTAGGTAGCAGGGGCCCAAATACTCCAGGCATCTTCTGCTGCTTTCCTACACACATTAACAGAAGCTGAACTGAAAGTGGAGCAGCCAGGACTCAAACCAATGCTTATACAGTAAGGAGTTAGATGGGTCAATAGGAAGTTAGGTAAGATCCCTGTTAGAATGGAAAAAGGAGGGGCCAGTGCTGTGGTACAGTGGATTAATGTCCTGGCCTGAAGCGCCAGCATCCTATTTGGGCACTGGTTCAAGACTTGACTGCTCCACTTCTGATCCAGCTCTCTGCTGTGGCCTGGGAAAGCAGCAGAAGATGGCCCAAGTCCTTGGATCCCTGCACCAGGGTGGGAGACCTGGAAGAAGCTCCTGGCTCCTGGCTTCAGTTCAGTGTAGCCCAGTTGGGGAGTGAACCATCGAATGGAAGGCCTCTCTCTCTGCATAACTCTTTCAAATAAATAAATAAATCTTAAAAAAAAATAATGGAAAGAGGAGAACAAAGTCCCTTCAAAAGAGAAAAAAGACAATGGTTGCTCCTTCTTGGGGAAGGCCTCTAGCTACCCATAGCTTCATCATAAAACCTGGTTGTTTGCTAGAGGTAGCCCACTGATGCCTCCCTGATCCCTGCCATAGGCATGAGATTCACTGCTTGCTGACTGGACAATAATTCCTACCCCATCTCCCTGAGTGTCTCCCTGAGTGGCTACTAACTCATTCTTACATAGGCCAATCAAAGTGCATATTCACATGATCCTTTCTGCTCCACTGACTGGACAAAGTTTTAAGAGTTACACACCCTTTTTGGCACCTTCATAAAAGCCTGCACCTGAAAGCTCTGGGGTCAGGGCAGGAGGCGACTCTTCCCGTGGAGTACCCCTCCCGACTACTGCATCAGAAGGCTCCTTGCTTTCAATAAAGCCTCTTATTTCTGCTCACTTCTGTAACCCTTGTGGAAATTCCTCCTCTCCAGGACGAGAACCAGCATGTCCTCCAGCTGTAACAATATGGGATGCTGGCATCACAGGCAGCGGCTTACTCTACTTTGCCACATGTATGTCTTAATCACTTGAACAAATTAAAAACATCTGTCAATCTTGATGTGTCCATCTCTACCCAACTTTTTCTGGGGGGGGGGGGCAGAGGAGGTGCTGGATTACATGTCATTTCACCTGTAAATATTTCCAATATGTACCTCCACAGGTAAGAGCTTTACATTTGTATTTACATACCACAATGTCATAAAATATCTAAGAAATATCCTTAATGTTTTTTTAATATTGGGGTTGGTGCTGTGGAGTGAGTAAAGCTACCACTTGTGATGCCAGCATCCCATATGGGTATGGATTCGAGTTCCAGCTGCTCCATTTCCAATCCAGCTCCCCGCTAATGGCCTGGGAGAGCAGCACAAGATGGCCTAAGTACCTGGGGAGTGAACCAGCAGGTGGAAGCTATCTCCAACCCTATCTCTCTTTCTCTCCCCCCAACGCTTTCAAATAAATAAATAAATCTTTATACTTAATGTTAATACTAGGTACATATTAAAATTTCTCCAGTGATCTCCAAAGTGACTTTTTACAGTTGCTTTGTTCCACTGTGACCTAAAACAGATCCACACATTGCATCCGGTTGACTTGCCTCTTTTTATCTGTAATAGATTTCCCGCTTGTCCCATCACTCGTCTTCCACCCCAAGCCATTTGTTTGTTGCAGAATCTAGTTATTCATAAAGTTTCATACCTTCTGGATCTGGTTGACTGCTTCTCGTAGTATAAAGCAGTGTATTAAAAAGTTCAGTCACAGGTTATGAACTAGGGACAGGAGTATACAGGGATAGGACAGCTGTGGCATATAACCAACATGTTTTAGACAAGTGATACTATAAAGTCTTTTTTTTTTTTAATTATCGGGGCCGGCGCCATGGCGCAGTGGGTTAAAGCCCTGGCCTGAGCGCTGGCATCCTGTATGAGGGCCGATTCTAGTCTCGGCTGCTCCTCTTCCAATACAGCTCTCTGCTATGACCTGGGAAAGCAGTAGAAGATGGCCCAAGTACTTAGGCCCCTGCACCCACGTGAGGAGGCTCCTGGCTCCAGATCAGTGCAGCTCTGGCCATTGCAGCCATCTGGGGAGTGAACCAGCAGATGGAAGACCTCTCTCTCTCTCTCTCTCTCTACCCCCCTGTAACTCTTTCAAATAAATAAATAAATCTTTAAAAAAATTATCAAAGCAAGCTATCAAACAAGCTGATAAGGTACCAAATCAGTGTAGTTTTTTTTTTTTTTAAATCCGTATTACTTCTTTATATAACGTTATACCTCACTAGTGGTAAGCCAAAGTAAAACATGGATAATACTCAAAAATTCATATAATTTACAAGTTATACTTAAGAGAAGGGGAAAAGTCACCTGTGACTGCCTATACAATATAATTCACTTATTTTGGTTTTGGACAGAAAAACTAGAAGTTTCTTTCAAAGTATTTTTTTTTTAAAGTGTGTGTGTTTGGGGTAGGGGTGGCAATCATCCTAGCAGTCAAGAAGCCAGTAAAAGGCACTGTCCTACATCAGTGTGTCTAGATTTGATTCCAAGCTCTGGCTCCTGGCCCGAGATTCCACCAATGCAGACTTGGGGAGGTATCAGCGATGGCTCAAGTAATGGGGTTCCTACCATCCTCCTCAAGGACTGGAACTGTCTTCCCTACTCCCAGCTCTCACCCTGGACCAGCTCTGGCTATTGCAGACATTTGGGAATTGAACCAGCAGATGGGAGCACTCTGTCCCTATGACTTTTGGGGAAAAAAATTTTTTTTAATAATAAAAAGTTCTCTAGATCATTCCAACATGCAGCCAGATGAGGCACCACTGCTCTAACATGTACATTTGATTTGCCTTTATAATGGTATTTTAACATTTCTGTGTAATTTATTTTTTTCAGTCTAGATCATCAACACAGTATTAATTACATACAAGTTACCACACTGCACTTGGTACAAATAATTCCTGCGTCCTTGTCTTTAGGATCCTTACAGTCTGGTTGAGAAAGATTATATATAAATAAAAACAGTGAAATATAAGAGATTACTATACTAAAAGTTTGGATAAGGCATATAGGGGCACAAAGACCTGGGCTATTCCATCTAAGTGTGGGGTTCAATCAGAAAAGATTTCAGAGGAGGTGACACCTAAAGAAGGGACTCATTTAAATTATCTCTGGAACTCTAAGACCTCTCAACAAAAATCTAGTAACAACCGGACTCAGAACTGGTATACTTAGAACAACTTGATGCAACTGGCTTTTACTTCGACTCTGCTCTAGACCACACTAACACAGGAAATGGCCCACCTCTGACACTGTTCACCAGTCAACAGTCTGACCACAGTCTTTAACCTGGTTTTTAACTTGGTTACGTCTTTCGAAACCAGTCTCATGGTATCCTCACTTAACCTCATCATTTTAAGTTCATCATTTTCTTTGCGTATTTCTATTGCTGCACTAGTCATGTGGCATTATAATAATATATATATATATATTTTGCTTTCTTTATTAGATCATAACTTTCTTCAGAAGAGGTAACAGGTAACAGATTACTTTTCTCTGTCTTGTATCCTTAACACTCAGCACAAGGCCTGACCCATAACAAATACTGGTAAGGAAGGAAGGAAGTATGCTAATCATTTTCACCACTATACTATAAGATTTCTTAAGACAGAAACTACCTGCCTGCATATTTCCCACAGTACATACCAGAGTGCCTCTTCTATTCATATATCATAGTCTTGCACAGTATTTATGGAATTACAAAAGGTTAAACTGTAGTAGGGCCTGCATAGTATATAAAAATAGCTCTTTTTTGATATTATTATTACTTACAGATTTATTTATTCACTGGAAGGGAGAGTTACAGAGAGAAAGGGAGAAACAGAGATTTTCCATCCACTAGTTCACTCCCCAAATGGCTAGAAAGGCCAGGGCTGGGCCAGGCTGAAGCCAGGAGCCTAGAATTCCACCCAGGTCTCCTACATGTTTGGTAGTGGCTCAAGTACTTGTGCTATCTTCTGCTGCCTTCCCAGGTGCATTAGCAAGAAGCTGGATTAGAAGTGGAGCAGCTGATACTTGAACTGGTGTTCACATAGGATGCAGGCATCACACACTGTGCCACAATGCCTGCCCCTGGTATTCTTATTCTTAACAATAATTTGAATTAAAGAAATTAGTAAGCAAACGTAAAAGAGGTCAATCATGGTAGAAGAAAAATGATACAACAAAGAGCACTGCACAGAAATCAGGAGGCCTGCACTTTGGCCTTCAGTTTGCCACTTATGATTTGATCTGTAGATAATTACCTTTATAAGTCTTATTTTCCTTGTTAAAATGAGACGACCAGAATTAGATCCTAAATCATCAGTTCTAACATGCTGTGTCTTCTAAAACAATTATAGAAGTGATACACTTGGGATCAGTGTTGAAGTCAAGATGCTAGCATCCCACGCTAGAATACCAGGGTTCAACAACCAGTACTCCTGACTCCAGCTTCGTCCTAGTGCATACCCTAGGGCACAGCAGTCATGAGTCAAGTGACTGGGTTCCTTCCACCCACATGAGAGACCTGGATTGAGTTTCCAGCTGCGAGATTCACATTGCGTCAGCCTATGCTGTTGCATACATTTGTGGGAGTGAACCAACGGATGAGAGCTCTCACTCAGTCCTTCTTTCAAAAAAACAAACAAACAAATTTTTTTAAAGTGATACACTCTAGGGACCAGCACTGTGATCCAGAGAGTTAAGCTACTGCTTGCAATGCTGGCATCCTACATCCAGTATCAGTTCAATTCCCAGCAACTCCACTTCTAAACCAGCTCCCTGCTAAAGTGCCTAGGAAGGCAGAGAAGATGGCCAACATAACAAGGCCCCTGCTACCAATTTGGGAGACCAGGATGGAGCACCTGGCTTCTGGCTTTGGGCTGGCCCAGATCTGGCTGCTGTAGTCATTTAGGAAGTGAACCAGCAGATGAAGGATCTATCCCTCTTTCAGTCACTTTGCTTTTCAAGTAAATAATTAAAAAAAAAAAAAAGTGACACACTCAAATATAAATATTATACATGCTTTCCTCATTCTCCACTCTATTTCATAACTTAATTTCTAAAACCATCTACTCTCAACTGTTTGTTATGTATTTTAAGGCACAAGGCAGGGGTTAGCGCTGTGGCATAGTGGGCAAAGCTACTGCTGAACTGCTGGCATCCCATATGGGCGCTGGTTCAAGTCCCCGCTCCTCCACTTCCAATCCCACTCTCTGCTATGGCCTAGGAAAGCAGTAGAAAATGGCCAAGTGCTTGGGCCCTTGCACCCATGTGGGAGACCCAGAAGAAGCTCCTGGCTCCTGGCTTCAGATCTGCCCAGTTCTGGTCATTGCAGCCATTTGAGCAGTGAACCAGCGGGTAGAAGACTTGTCTCTCTCGGACTTTGCCTCTCCCTTTCAAATAAATAAATAAATAAATCTTTTAAAAAATAAAAAAGCACAAGATCATACAGTTCTAAGATTCTTGATTGTACCAACTAGATAGTCCTAAAAATTTTCCTGGAATTTTACCAAAATGAAGAAAAAACTATAAATACTTTGGGAGCAAAAATAAAATTATCTACTCAGAAAATCAAAAGTAGGAAAATTAAAGTACAGAAAGCAGTAAGTACCTAAAACTCGTGTGCTGGGGTAATGTTGCTACAGTTTAGGATGCCCATATCCCATATCAGAGTGCCTGTTCCAGACCTGGCTGCTCTACTTCCTTTCAGTCCAGCTCCCTGCTCATGTGCCTGGGAAGGCAGCAGCAGATGACCTAAGGACTTGGGCCCCGTCACCCACGTGGAAGACCTGACTGGAGTGCCTGGCTCTTGGCTTTGGCCTGGCCTATCATGGCTGTTGCAGGCACCTGGGGAGTAAATCAGCAGATGGAAAGTTAGTTTCTCCCTTTCTCTCCATCATTCTGCCTTTCGGATGAATAAATGAATAAAAAAAAAGTGTCACCTCGTGTTTGTGTAATATGATGAGTAAAAGGCATGTAACAAGAAAAAAAGCTTTAGATAGGAAGTTTCTCTAGGGAAAAAAATGTGGGAGGCGTGGACTTGAGAGGAAAGGGGAATCTTTATCAATATTAGAATCACAAAAGTATGCAGAAAGGCAAAAAAAATTCACAAGATTGTAAGTGCTAAAAAAGCAAGCCCAATTCTGAAATATACCAGGAGCTTAAGGAGAGAGTCACTGCAGAAAAATGGTTGTATTCCCTCACTAAATGCACCCAGGGACAAAATGTGGGTTAGATCCCTGATTTTCTCAACAGCAGCATTCTTGCAAGATCTACATGTAAATTTAACAATAGTATTTACATACTATGAAGCCAAAGGTAAAATAAGTATATTTGTAACCAGTTATCTCTAATGGTTAGGAAAATTTACCATAGGATGATAGTTATCCTATGAATTTTTAAAAAAAGATTTATTTATTTATTTTCATAGTCAGAGTTACAGAGAGGGAGGGGGAGAGAGAGATTGAGAGAGAGAGAGAGAGAGGTCTTCCATCTGCCGGTTCACTCCCCAGATGACCACAAAGGCCCGTGCTGTGCCAGGAGCTCCATCTGAGTCTCCCACATGGATGGCAGGGGTCCTAATCCTTGGACCACTTTCTGCTGCTTTTCCCAGGCCATTAGCAGGGAGCTGAATCTGAAGTGGAGCAGCTGGGACAGATCAGTATCCATACGGGATGCCAGCATTGCAGGGATGGTTTTACTCACTACGCCACAATGCCAGGCCCCATTTTAAGAATTTTTTTATAAAATAAAAAGAGAGTAGTTTTCCAAGACAGAAATGCTATCCAGTGGCTACATTGCTAAATTCCCTTTCATCTGGTTATTAGATAGCATTTAGACATTAAGTAAGGGGCCCAAAGCAGTGGCTTAAGAGGCTGCTTTTAATACCATATCAGAGAATGAATTCCATATCATATGAATTCCTTATCAGAGTACAGATCTGGGTCCTAGCTTATGTCCCATCTGCTCCACTTCTGATCCAGCTTCCTGCTAATGTGTACCCTGAGAGGCAGAAGATGGTTCAAGTACTTAGGCCCCTGCCACCCATGTGGGAGAGAGACTTCAGGCTTTGGCCTGGCCCAGCCCTGACCGTGGCTGCCACTGGGATGGAAGACTTCTTATTGTTTTTCAAATAAAAATAAATAAATTTTAAGAAATAAACATTAAGAAGAGTTATAAAAGCAAGGTTAACTTTATACCCATGTAAACAACATAGATTTCACTCAGACATGTCCCCAAGTTTTACAAAAGAATACCAGTGGGGCCAGTGCTGTGGCACGGTGGGTTGAGCCATGGCTTGCAGTGCCGGTGTCCCATATAGATACTAGTTTGAGTCCCAGCCCTTACACTTCTGATCCAGCTCCCTGATAATGTGCCTGGAGAAGTTGCAGAAGATGAGCCAAGTCCTTGGGCCCATGAACCCATGTGGGAGACCCGAAAGAAGCTCCTGGTTTTGGCCTGGCACAGCCCTAGCTGTTGCGTCCATTTGGGAAAGGAACCAGTGGATGGAAGATCTCTCTCCCTCTCTCCTCTCTCACTCTGTAACTCCACCTTTCAAATAAATAAGTAAATCTTTAACCCCCTCCCCCCCCAAAAAAAACTACACCACTGCAGACTGTAAAGAATGCTTGAAGATAACAGCAATCTAGATAGACATGAATCCTGTCTTTCTGGTCTAACACATTACTGATGTAAGTCCACTTTTTAAAGGAGTAAAAATGCAATTCTATAACAAGTAAGTCACAACTCTAATAATACTCAACTACAAATTACCCAATGACAAACAGAACAAGAAAAAATTAACACTAGTATTGAGTTTACCTGATATTTTTACAATCTAAATACAGTGTGGTGAATAAAAACTAAAAGTAGAATTTAGAATTAATTTGGGGGAAGAGGTAATACTAAATTATTTTTACTATACACTTAACAGATCTACCTTGTCTCCAGACATTAAAAACACAAACAGAATAAAGGAACTAAAATCATTCTGGTTTCCTGAACCCTTTAGGTTGGGAGAATACTATTTCCTGACACCGGAAAATGTTAAGTCAGCTTCACTTTCACAAGCAAGCAGCTGAGGTCAGAACTTGGGTACAATACCATTTTAAGAGTCTTTCAGATTCTTAATGGGAAATTTCTATGATTGGAAAGACTACAATAGTCGTAAGTTAGCACAAAATGACACCCATAAAGCAGTGCTGCAGATCTCAAACTTTAACCTTAGAGTCTGAAATGTCTCAGACTCCAGTTTCATCTCCTCTCTCTCTTGCATCACTTTTCCCACTAAATCACATGAAAACTTCCAAGCTAGCTGACTCTGCTTTCATACCCTACAGGTCTGCAGGGGTCCGCGTGAGCCAGGGTGGCTGTGTGCAACTTCGCGGCTAGAGACAACACGGTCCTGAAGACTGCACCTAAAGCTCCCGGAGAAGAAAGCAGGCGGTGGCGGTCCCACCCTGGAAGGCTCTTTAGAATCCCTCCATCCGCCAGAACAGCACGTCCATCGATCGGACCTGAGCTAGCCAGAACCACTGTCTCTGGCAAAGTACCTATTTTCAAAAACCAATTTTGTAATGCACATCTAAAGTCTCTGAGGGAAAGTCACTTAATATACGATTAAGAAAATCCTACTCATTTTAACTGTCCTCAAAAACAGACTGAAAACTCCGAAGTCATGTAGGGAGCATCTGGCCAATCCGTTCATTTCTACAATTTGGGATTCTCTGTGCTGGAAAGCTACAAAACTCTTTGAGATTCACTCTTCACCAAGAGACTCATTTCAGTTTTAAGACAAAAATGAGGAAGTCAAAATACACACTTGCTGTCCTTCTTGCCACACACCTTCCCGTAAACCAAATTAATACTGCAGCCACCCGGTATTCTACAGGGTTCTAAGCACCTCAAGGAGCGGGGGCCTAACAGCCTCCCAGATGACCACCTGGATAAACAGTCCAGCGATGAGTCTCCTCCACCCGGACACCTACTCACCCTCGGTGCCATCCTGGGGGTTAGAGGTCCTGTCGCTGGCTGGATCCAGGGCGACCGTTGCCAGGGAAGTGGTGGCTCCCGACATCTCGCTCATGGGCTCGCTCCGGCTGGTTTCAGGCACGCTTTCCCGGGAGCTAAATCTTACTCTGGAGCTAGATCGAGAGCTGAGATCTGGGCTGGTATCTGACAACCCTGGAATGTCATCGATCTTGGTTGGTGTCACCATGAACCGAACTGAAGCCATCTTGGTGGTGGTTTCTGGAGGATGCATTTTTCTTTTTTCAAGAACAAAGAAAAAGGGACAAACCTCACAAAAAACTTTGCTCCTATGCTACTTTTGACTGCAGAAATAGAAAACTTTAAAACAAAGTCAACCTTCTGTCACCTCGGTTCACACCACACAAAGCCCCACACAAGAATCCTACTCGGAATTCAAGCTGACTGTCCTGAAAAGTGTACCCCCAACAGCTGAGGCATTTTCCCCCCTTTTTCTGAGGAAAAACCGAAACGATAGCAGCTTGGATGCTAGGAGGAAGAACGACCTAGCTGCCGCCCCCGGCCCGGGGCTGAGGGCGCAGGGCCATGGCCTCGCAGCGCTGCAGCGTCCTCGCCCTCCACCCCCAGGCTCCCTCCGGGGCAGCAGTCCGTGATCGGCGGAGCGTCCCACGGGTCTAGCCGAGCAGAGTGCGCACAGGCCCGCCCTTACCAGTGGATACAGCGCGGACCAGATTGCGAAAAGGTGTGCACCCGGCCACCTGTTGTGTATCAGGTGAACACCCCCCAGGGCTGGCTGGGAGGAGGAGCGTGCAGAGCCACCCGAGGTCGACAATCCACTCGGGTCTGGAGGGAGAGGTGCACATGCATAACGGGAAGAATAACCCACACTACTGGATGGAGAAGCGGGCGGCTGCCGGGCACGGCGGAGTCCTGCCTCCGGAGGCTGCGGGGGCGGCGCGCCCGCTCTTCCGGCAGGAGGCGGCTAGCGGGTCAAGACCCCTCCGACTGCAGCTCGGGGTCGTGGCGGGTCGCTGCGAGTCCACCGGCGCCCACGGCCGGCTCGCCGGGTCCTCCCGCGAGTGACAGGTGGGGAAGACGCCGTCTCCCCGCCCCCGGCCCGCCGCAGGTCTTCCTTCGGTCCCGGCAGAGGAGGAGCCCGCCAAGCACGCCGGCCCTGCCTGGGCAGGAGGGGCGGAGGTCGCAGGTGCGGGATGCCGGCGCCAGCTGATGCGGTGCGCGCGCAGCTGTTGTTTACGAGCCGGTAACTGTTTCTGAGCCGCGGCGCGCTCGGGATGCCGGGGAGCGGAGACGCCGGGGCGGCCGTTACGTGACCTCGCCGCCCCCCGCCCCGGGCCCGGCGGGCTCTGCCCGCGCCACCGCAGCCCTCCCCTTCCCTCCCCGCTCGTTCCTCATTCGAGGTCAGCCGTCCGAGGAGCCCCGCGGAACCGTGGGAGGGCGGCGCTGCCCCTCCGGCGCCCGCGGCCCCGCCCCGCCTCTGCGCCGGCGGGGAGCCCGCAGCGCGCCTGCGCCCGCCGGGGCCCGGGGGCGCGGGGCACGACGGGAACTGTAGTCCGCCTCGGAGCCGCGCTGCGGGCCGCCGCGGCGGGGTGGCGGTGCCCGACGCGCTCTGGAGGAACGCGGGCGAGCCGGCAGCGACCCTCACCCGCAGACCCTCAGGACCATTTCCCTAACAAGAGCGTCTTGGTAGACACCCATAACCTCTGTAAATACCACAAGCCCAGGTACGACCCTCATAGAAATCTGTGTAGCGGGTTAACCTAAAGCTTTGTGTGCTCGGTTACACATCTTCTGTCACACGTGCATTCTCCTTCCTCCTTGTCCTTTTAAGAATTGCTGTGCCCAGTTTCTAGTTATCCCAGATGCTCCGTTAAAGGAGTCGCCTTTAGGGGCCGTGGTTGCGGTGTGGTGGGTAAGCTAGCACCTGCAACACTGGCGTCCCGCCAGGTGCTGCATGGCGCCCCAGCTTCCGATCCAGCTCCCTGATGATGCCCCCGGGAAGGCGGTGGATGCCCCAAGTGCCTAGGCCCCTGCATCCGCCTAGAGGCTCAGGGCCTTGGGCTGGCCCAGCCCTGGCCGTGGCTGCCATCTGGGCAGTGAACCGGCAGATGGAAGATCTGTCTCTCCCTCTCCGTACCTGTGCCTTTCGAATAGATAAATCTTTAAAAAAAAAAATCGGCTTTAATTGTAAAAGCAATATATTGAACTATTTTCCCTTGGACATTTTTTTCTATAATTTACTGCATTAGAATATTTTTGTGTTTACTTAATGCATAAGTACAGGTGTTCAACAAATTTTTGTTCAAAGTTTTTTTTTTTTTTTTTAAAGACATTTATTTTGAAAGAGTTACACAGAGAGAGGGAGAGAGCTTCCATCTGCTGGTTCAACCCCCACATGGCCCCAAGGGAGCCAGGAGCTTCCTCCAGATCTTCCAAGTAGATGGCAGGGCCCATGCACTTGTGCCACCATCCTCTGCTTTTCCAGGCGCATTAGTAGGGAGCTGGGTCCGAAGTGGAGCAGCCGGGATACATCCATATGGGATGCTGGTGTTGCAGGTCCTGTTCATCAAAGTTTTCTGAAAATTTAGTTTCATCAAGACATCTAAATTTAACCATCCTGAGCCCTGAAAACTAGCTCCTTGCTTCTCACAAGTGGGAATGTTTAAGCAGAATCCCTAGCAATAGAACTGTATTTAAGACCCAAGCAAGGGGCTGGCGCTGTGGCGTAGCAGGTAAGGCCACCACCTGTAGTGCCGACATCCCATAAGGGTGACGGTTTGAGACCTGGCTGCTCTACTTCTGATCCAGCTCTATACTCTGGCCTGGGAAAGCAGTGGAGGATGGCCCAAGTCCTTGGGCCCCTGCACCCATGTGGGAGATCTGGAAGAAGCTCCTGGCTCCAGCTTCAGATTGGTGCAGCTCCAGCCGTTGTGGCCAACTGGGGAGAGAACCAGCGGATGGAGGACCTCTCTGCCTTTCTTTCTCTCTGTAACTCTTTCAAATAAATAAAAATAAATCTTTAAAAAAAAGTTCCAAGCCAAGAAATTCCCTTTTATCAATTGAGAAAGTGTGAAATCCAGTTGAAGAACCTAGTAACAAAATGAGAAACTCTCATATAAATGAAAATCTTTTCAAGCTTAACTTTTTATTTAAAGATTTAAAAAATTTTTTATTTGAAAGGATGAGAGAGAATGTTCCATCTGCTGGTTCACTTCCCAAATGGCAGCAATGGCCAGGGCTGGGCCAGGCGAATGCTCGGAGCCCCAAGCTCCATCCTAGTCTCCTGTACTAGGTGACGGGGCCCTCAAGCACAAGCACAAGCACTTGGGCCATCACCCGCTTTCTCCAGTGCACCTGCTTTCCATCAGCAGGAGGCTGGATTGGAAGCCAAGCAGTGGGGCCCTAAACCCTGGGATTCCTGACCCCGGCATTTTGAGGAAGAAACCATGTCCTGAAGCTCTTCCCTCAGGCAGGCCTGCTGTTTATTCAAACCTCACAGACTTTCTTTCCAAGGACCTGCTGCATGGGTTGGATGTTTGATACATGCATGGGATGCCTGCATGCCACATCACAGTGCTTAGGTCCTTGTCCCAGCTTTGCTTCCCGCATCAGCTTCCTACTCATGTGCACAATGGGCGGCAGCACGGTCGATGGTCCAAGTAGTGAGTCCTGGCCACAAATGCGGGAGTTCCAGGTTGAGTTCCAGGCTCCTGGCTTCAGCCTTTAGCTGTTGAAGGGATTTTTGGAGTGAATCAGTGGATGGAAGTTCTCTCAAATGAACAATAAAGAAAGGGTTTTTACGACATTCGATTTTGGTTTCCTTTCCGAGTGCATTTGCAGTCATCTATATATAATGCTTGTATTTGCCTCTTAAGACTCTTCTTCCTGTCTCCTAGCACTAATACAAATCTATGTCCAGGGACAAACCCAGGGATCTCTTAAGGAAAAGGAATATTCATGCCAGTTTGCCTTTTCTCCTCTGTATTAATTAGAAATATTTCCAAGTAAAAGTCTTTTCATTTTAGTTACACAGTTGATAGCATAGAACAATGCTAATCCTTTTTTGTTTTCTTTTTTTGTAAGACAGAAATGCATTCAACTCGGAGCCAGCATCGTGGCACAGCAGGTTAACCCAATGCCTGCTATGCCGGCATCCCTTATGAGTCCTGCTACTTCACTTTCCATCCAGCTCCGTGTTAATGTGCCTGGGAAAGCAGCAGAGAATGGACCAAGTACATGGGGCCCCTGCACCCACATGAGGGGACCCAGATAAGAGTTCTAGGCTCCTAGCTTCAACCTGGCCATTGTGGCCATTTGCAGAGTAAACCAGCGATCAGAAGATACTTCTCTGTAACTGTCTTTCAAATAAATTATAAAAAATAAAGAAATGCATTATTCAACTTTTTAAAAAAGACTGGTAGTGGTATTCATTTACTGATTTGGGTACTTACCAAACTTCAATAGCAAATCCTTTTTCTGGTCATTTGCAGATTTTTAGACATTGTTTTCAGTCATTACCCCTCACTAGGATAATAACACTTTAAAAATCCTTCAGGTATGGGGCAATTGTTGTGACAAAGTTAAGTTATGGTGCCACTTGCAACGCTGGCATCCCGTATCAGAGTGCCAGTTTCAAGTCCTAGCTATTTGGGCTTCTGATTCCAGCTTCCTGTTAATGCACCTGGGAAAGCAGAAGCAGATGGCCCAAGTGCCTAGACCCCTGTCACTTACATGGGAGACTACGATCGAGTTCCAGGCTCCTGGCTTTGGCTTGATCCTGCCATGGCTGTTGCAGCCATTTGGGGAGCAAGCCAGTAGATGGAAGATCTCTCTGCCTTTCAAATAGATTTTTAAAAAAGTGAGATCACTAGGAAACAGCAATTAACTTAATATAGAGAAAAAGAAGCTAGCTGGGATTTCTTGGATGCCTAAACACTGTATTTTACCTCACCATCCCTCTAATCCCTCTATTATGAAGTAATTGGATACAAATAATGTATAGCCCACCCCACACAGATCAAAAGAAACATCTCCAGGCTGTTTTGTTTTTAAATTAAGCCCCAGAGCCACTGTTGTGGTCTAGCGATTTAAGCTGCTGGGACCCCAAAACTCAAATTAGAGTATAGGCTGCAGTCCTGACTACTCCAGATCTAGCTTTGTGCTAATGCGGCAGATGACAACTCAAGTGCTTGGGCCCCCACGGGAGGACTTTATGGAATTCAGGGCTCCAGATCTCAGCTTGGCCCAGCCCAGGCTGTTGTGGGCATTTAGGATAGAAGAGCTCTTTCTTCGTTGCTCTGCCTGTCAAGTCAATAATTAACATTATAAAGGAAGCCCCAACCGAGCTTGAAAAACAGCCCAAGTCTTTGCATGAATCTCTGATATCTCTTCTTCTAAATTAAGCAGACTATGGGGTGGCTAGCTGCCAAGGAGAATATAAAGTTATGTGCAAGAAGACAATGAGGCCGGCCAGTGGGGCTGGGGGCTGTGGGCCCCTCAGCCGTAGGTGGAATGTCCTTTACAAGCAGGCTGTCAGCTGTGGCTGGAAAGCCTGTCTCCAGACCAACTGGCATCTCCCCCACTAACAGCTTCTTGTGGGGCATGTGTGACCTTGCGGCTTTGAATCACACCTTCAGGGTGGGGGCAATATTTCACCCAGAGCTGGCAGGGGAAGGGGCTGAGCCTCTGGGGAGAGTCCAGCAGATCCAGGCTATCTTGTGTGACCTTATGGTTTTAAATCACACCTCCAGGGTAGCTGCAATCTTGCACCCAGAGTTAGTGGGGGCAGGGGCTGAGCCCCTAAAGACAGTCTCTAGGAGACCCCTGCTAGCTCCATGAGTCCCAAGTCAATCAACATACAGCATGTGAAACCCCTGTCCAATGGGCACCCCCAGAGAATGACCCAATGAAAAAAAAATTAATGCCTTAAAAATCGGGACACTCCTCAAAGCCAGTGTCTCACTCCAGCACTCCATCTGCTCCCCTCTTGGACCAGACGCTTTCTCTGTCCTTTGCCAACCAAATAAATGTTTCTAATAAAAATTTCTGCCTCTTTGCAAATTGTTTCCCGGCTTTTTATTTCCACACTAACCTGAGGAAAGCAACCCACGAAACTCGCTCTGGCAACCGTCCTCCCCTCTGCGACGGGTAACAAGTCCTTAAGGGGAAGGACTAAAGTCTGGGAATATTTCTAGAGGGTTTAGTTATTATGCCTAAAACTGTTCTATTCACACAGTTGGGCATTCTGTAATTACAATTAATGTTTCTTATAAATCAGAAATTGGGAGAAGAGGACTAACTAGGTTAAGTAACTTTTCTAAACTTGCACAGAGAACCACAGTTCCTGACTTCCAAGTCACTGCCTTCATTCTATAAAGTAGATTGCTATTACTTCTTCCAGCACACTTCCAATTTAAGTCAAAATATCATCTTCAAGGAGAACAAATTACTTGGGAGAAGAGGTATTTATCAGTCCACACTGACAACTGTGGAAAAGTCCGTCTCAAGCTCTCTTCCCCTTCCCCAACACCCTCCTGTCTGTAACAGCACATCACTACTCCTGTTGCAGAAGCTTGGGTTTTTCTTAACCGCCTCAGTGCCGGTTCAAGTCCTGGCTGCTCCACTTCCAACCTAGCTCCCTGCTCATGTGCCTGGGACAGCAGTGGGGGATGACCCAGGTGTCTGGGCCCCAGCATCCCAGGGAAGACCCAGATGGAGTTCCACACTCCTGGCTCGGGCTGTCGCAGCCATGTGGGGGAGTGAACCAGCAGATGGAAGATCTCTCTCCCCCCAACGCTTAAAAAAAAAATCTTTAAAAGAAAAACCAACCACCAACACACAAGTGAGAGCTCTCTCAAGTCATTTTACATGTAATAACCCGGCAGTAATTCAAACCCTGACAGAGCCGAACCTGTTTCCTTTAGGGCAACACACAAGCGTGATCAAACGCAAGAACGAGACCCAAATCCAGAGGCGGCTTCATGGCCGAGGTGGAGGGGGCATTTTTGGTTTATTTTACAAGGAGCCTCTGCGGAGCGGCAGGCGGTGGAGGAGGCCCTCAGAGCACAGGACGCGGCTGCTGGGTCATCAGCACCTTGAAGCGCTTCTTGATGGTGATGCGGTGTCGCGAGTACTTGTCGTCCGGGGAGAAGCGCGCAGGATGGGCCGAGCAGGTCTGCTGTCCCATAGGGTCAAACTTCTGCTCGGGGAAGAAAGACGGCGAGCTGAGCGCCGCGCGCCCCGGCGCCTCCCCACGCGCGCCCCGGAGCTCGCCCCGGCGCCTCCCCACGCGCGCCCCGGAGCTCGCCCCGGCTCCTCCCCACGCGCGCCCGACCCCTCCCGCCGCCGCGTCTCGCCGTGCCCATCTCGCCTCACCTTCAGCGTGTACACCCGGTCGCCCTCCTCGTTGAGATAATACTGGAGAAACATGACGACCCGCAGCGCCGGCTCCCGCGCCACACGCAGCCCCGCCGGCCGCTCGCGTGCTCGCCCACTTCCTTCCGGCGGCGCCCCGCCCGCCCCGGGCACACCGGGAAATGTAGTCCGCCCGTGCGCCCCCGCGGGCCGGGCCTGGGCCGGCTACACAGTTGCACAGTTCCACCCTTGCAGACGTTAGGAGACACGTGGAGGGTGCCCACGGTGTGCCCGGCACTGCCAAGCGCCGTAGGGGGGTAGGGAGGCACGGTCGGGGCTCGCACACTGGTGTGGACAAGCCCGCCTTCACCCCAGGATGCACACCCTCTCCAGAGCGTCTCCAGTGGGTTTCCAGGGCCCACAAAAAAGAGGGCTCGCGGATTCGGCGCCCCTTGACCCTAGGGGAGAAATAAGGTTTTCTGTCCTCCCCACTTTTACATCCGGTTCCTACGCCCCGATTCAAAGTATTGGCGGTAAAGAGTGCATGACGGGTATTCCATATTCTCTAAAGGAAAGAGCGTAAAGTTATTTTATGAGACCGGTCCAGTATGTCTTAGTGGGCGAACCCAGATTCAAACCCAGATCTCTTTCCAGAAAATTCAGCGCTCTTTCTCAGAGTGGTAAGTAGCTAAGAATAGCGTAAGATATATCTTCTAGGACTATGTAGAATCCGTAAAAGAACGTAGAAATTCTCCTTATAGGACTCCAGTTTAAGGACGTGACCACTACAGAGTTAGTTGTAACGGCAAAAACATTGGAACGTATGTGAATTTTGTAACGAGAAAAACCCAAAAGCTTTTTTTTTTTTAAAATATAGTTTGTACTTGCTTGTAGTTGATTAAAGTGCCGCTCCAGAAATTCACAAGAAACATGACACTCGCTCCCTCTGCTTTAGAGAATTTGGTTACAAGTAAAGACTTGTTGCTGTATAGTCTATTTTGTACAGTTTGACCTTTGAAATATTCTAATATGTGACCTATTTAAAAATTTCCAAATAACAAAATAATTTAACAAAAAACTGTCTGGTCTTGAAGATCTAGCCGCGTGGCAGTTTGAATTATGATTATTTTTAAATGTAACGGGGCTTCTCAGCGAAGGGTAATCTATGGTTTTTGCGGACTGCAGTTTCCACTAGTGGACTCCTGTGGGGCTGCAGGTCTGCTTTCCAAGGAAGTGATGTGCAGACAGCAACTGAATGCCCCTGGTCATGTGAGACAAGTCTAAATGCCAACGTTTTATTCCTTTGGCCCACATTGCAATGTGCTCTGAATTTGGTTCAGAAAATATAGCTGTCACTGAATTAAGTCAAGGGTCTACCACCTGCTATTAGTAGGAAGTCAGTTGGAAAATCGGATAGGTTTAAAGGGTACAAAACTAGGTACGAGATGGAAAATTAAAGTGTAGGGAACTGAAAGGTAAAACTGTATAGTATGATGTTTGGAATCTGAGGAAGATTTTACAAATTGCTCTAAAGAGGCACACAAGCAATTGTGTTGCCAAACTCTAGTTTGGGGGGATTCCTGGGTATTGTCTACTAATTAGAACCCTCCCAACCCCCACCTCATGCCCGCCCCCCCCCCCCCCCCCCCCCCCCCGCACTCCCTTCTCCCCTCCCCCACTGCAGAACGCCCGGAGTTCGCATTCTAGTTCTGTTTTGCTACAATCCTTACACGTCCTTCCTTGGATCCCTGTGTATCTATTGGAGCCAGGTTACTTTCTGGGACTCCAGACCTGACTGTCTCATTCTGGAGGCTTCCAGACAGCCAGAGTTAGTACCCAAGCCTGAGACCATGGCTTCAGATGGAAGTAAGTCTCAGGTGGCGGGGCAGGGCCCCATCCCCAACCACCTACTCACATCCTTGGGGATTCAAGTTTGACACTTCAGCAGGGCACAAGCTTTTTGGGCTGATCTAGAAAATGTGAGACCATCCCCCAAAGGCATCACCCCTGGGAGGCTGGGTCAGGTGCTTGTACCATGAACACTAGGGGTTAAGGAAGGAGGAGGGCCTCCTTCGAGTCAGATGGTGGCATCCCAGGGCAAACATGCTGAGTGTGGAGTACAGATGGCATAACTGATTCTCTGGAAGAGAATGTGTTTCTGCAGCCAGGGCAGGGGTATACGTGGTAGGAGTGGCACAGATCCACGGGTCTACATTACCAGGAAGCTGGAATTAGGAGGCAGAACTAAGAATCAAACCCAGGCACTCCACTGTGGGATGCAGGTCTCTTAACCTTCAGGCCAAGCATCGGCCTCTGCCCCCAGTGTTTCCTGACTCATCAGGACCAGAGGAGGTGGTTCATCACTGGCATGAGAGCCGTGGCTTCCCTAAAATATTCTGTTTCCCTACATTTTGTGGACCTGAGTCCTTGAGACGGATGACTTATGTTTGGTAGTTCCTGGCATACTCCTGGCCCTCTGCTCTGTGGTTCAGATGAGTGAATCTTAGTTTGTCACATTCTAAATCTCTTTCAAGGTCAGGAAGTAGAACTGGCCTTAGTCTGCTGGTGGAATACTCTTTGTAAGAGGAGGAGGAGAGCACCGTGAAATCAGGCAGGTTTCCCACCTTTACTGTTATTAAAAGCCCTGGGAGACACAGGTCATGATTAACAAAGTATATGCGTGTGTTCTTACCCCTGGCCTCCTTGCCTAGTGTCCACACAGCTCCTCCACAGCAGGAGCAGTTCCTGACTCAGCTGTCCCTGCCTCAGCGCTAGCTCAGTGCCTTGTTCCTAGTGGACCCTCAGTGTCTGCTATTAGCAGCCCCAAGCACTGCCAAACTTCAACATGTCCAGAGCGACTGAAAACCTCCCTCTCCAGGGCCATTTCCTGGTCTTTATCTAATCCTCTCTGGTTAGCTATTCCTGGATGTTATACAACATTTCTGGGAGTCAAACATCTAATCCACATACCTTCTCCTGGGATTTGCACTTCCATGAGTGGCGGCAGAGGCCACAGAGGACCTAGGATCAGAGGGCGGGGGCTGTGAATCCCATTTGGAATAGGTGGGAATAGGAAGCGTACATGTATGCAAGGTGTTATGGGACAAGGGCACCGCAGCTTTCATTGTGTTGTTTTAGGAGAGAAAGTGAAGATGCTGACAGGAAAGGGAAAAGGAGCAGGAGATGGGCCAGTGATTTTTTTTTAAAGACTTATTTATTCATTTGAAAGAGTTACACAGAGAGAGGAGAGACAGAGAGAGAGAGAGAGGTCTTCATCTGATGGTTCACTCCCCAATTGGCCGCAGTGGTCAGAGCTGCGTCGATCCAAAGCCAGGAGCTGGGAGCCAGGAGCTTCTTCCAGGTCTCCCACGTGGATGCAGGGCCCCAAGCAGTTGGGTCATCTTCCACTGCTTTCCCAGGCCATAGCAGGGAGCTGGATCAGAAGTGGAGCAGCCGGGTCTCATCAAACCGGCGCCCACATGGGATGCCGGCGCTTCAGGCCAGGGCATTAACCTGCTGCGCCATAGCACCGTAGCACCGGACCCTTTTTTTTTTTTTTTTTTTTTAAGATTGATTTTATTTATTTGAGAGAGAGAGAGGTCTTCCATCTGCTGGTTCACTCCCCAAATGACCACACAACGGCCAGAGCTGAGCTGATCCGAAGTCAGGAGCCAGGAGCTTCTTCTGGGTCTCCCACCCAGGGGCCCAAGGACTTGGACCATTTTCTGCTGCTTTCCCAGGCCATAGCACAGAGCTGGATCAGAAGTGGAGCAGCCGGGACACAAACTGGCGCCCATACGGGGTGCTGGTGCTGCAACCCGGGGCTTTAACCCCCTACGCCCCAGCCCAGACCCCCAGTAATCTTTTTTGAAACTGCCTCCTTTTCAAGGGCCCTGTGGGTACCTGGAGAGGAGCCAGAACTTCTCTGAACTAGTTCCGCTGCTGCTCTGAGTCTGCCACGGGCTGTTTTTCTTTCAGAGGTGTCAACCCTATCTCCTGTCTTGCTAAACAGCCTGTGGGGCTGGCTGGCAGGGAGGGTCCACCAGGCATCCCCTGGCTTAGAGAAGCTCTCAGAGGCGGTGGTGGCTTGGGCTTGCCTCTTCCTGATAGACAGTGTCTTGTTGACAAGGGGCAACTCCTCTAACACAGGACTTCTCAGCTAGCGCAGATTCCTAACTTCTGGTCTCCTTTTCTCCGGCTCCATTCTCTCCTTTTCTTTGTCTCAACAGCATCTCCATTGCCAGGACCGGACATGACCATGAAACCTGGTGCTGCCCTGTCTCCTTTCGCTGCACTTCCCTTTCCCCCTCCTACTCCTGGCCCGCCAGACCAGCCCCCCTGGGACCCACCTCCACAGCCCCCTGTGCCTTCGGCATTCTCAGGAAATAATCCTCTGGTGCTCTCTGCTTTCCCCAGCCCCTTGCTGATGACAGGGGATGGGATTCCTGGCCCCAGTGGGGCTGGGGCTAGTAAGGTCATAGTCACGGTCAAGACAGAAGGGAGCCCGGCTGAGCCCTCGCAAGCTCAGAACTTCATCCTTACTCCCACAGCCATCAATTGGATTGCCTCGGACACTGAGGGCCCCCCAACTCGCTTTGTGACAGCCTCTACTGTGAAGGCCATTCTGCCCCCTAAAGCTGCTGGCATGAGCCAGGAGGGACCCTCAGGCCTTCCTCCTCAGGCTCCGGCGCAAGCTGCCCAACTGGCACCTATGGTGCCCCTGGAAAAAGCTTGGCCGGGGCCACAAGGGTCACCTGAGGAAGGAGACCCTGCCACCGCCAGATCCCAGCCCCCGCTGGGTGACCTCTCCTGTACTTCCAAGGGTGTTTACGAAAACTTCCGTCGCTGGCAGCGCTACAAATCCTTGGCCCGGAGGCACCTATCTCAAAGTCCTGACACGGAAGCTCTTTCCTGCTTTCTTATGTAAGTGGGGAGACCAGAGATTAAGGAACTGAGGGTTTGCAAATTGAGCAGGGACTTTGGGATGGAGGCAGGAGTTTAGGCTGCTTAGGAAAACTTTGGCCAGGTCTCCAGGGCATACAGGTGCTGCAAACAGTCACAACAGCAACACTCCCCAGTTTATCACAGGCTTTCCGATGTCTACAAAAACCCCGACAGCCCTGTCAGTCCAGGGGAGCCTTTTCATGGGAACCCCTGTTTACAGAGAAGACTGAAGGTCAGGGAG